CTGTCAATCAGTCAGTAGACACTCAAATGACGTCACATAAGGAATGCTTAACATTGCAGTTTGTACTGTTGTGACGTCAGTGGAACGTGCGCATGCCGTGAATCAACGCACGAGAAGAATTATGCACTCTGTAGGTTACAACACAGCATGACATATAAACTTTAAAAGCAAGAAATAAAAATATTTGTTACTTTTAATTTTGGTTTTATTTAGTCTTGAAACAAAACACTCTCAGGGGGCCTTGCGGAAGTGTATCTGCTGTAAAATACCAATGTTGCTTCTAAATCAAAAAATGGAGAACTATACGTGAGTGAGATATATTAAGAATACATTACGGTAAAACTAAATTAAGGGGTAGGAAAAACATTTTCGATTTCTTCTGTGCATCTGACATCTTTAAGGACCTCACTCTAGACCGGGACAAAAAAACCTTTCAACTTACGTACATCTGAAACCCCCAAAAACCTCACTCCTGACTTGGACAAAAATCGTTTCAACTTCCTTTGTACATCTAACATTCATAAGGATGTCATTCTAGATAGGGGCAGCCTTTCAACTTCTCCTGTACATCTGATACTCCTAGGACCTCACTCCAGACTGGGACAAAAACATTCCAACTTCTCCTGTATATCAGAAATCCCTAGGACCTCATTTCAGACTGAGACAAAAAAATTCCAATTTCTCCTGTACATCTTCCCCTCCCCAAAAACCTCAATCGAGACCGGAGAAAAAGCCTTCCAACTTCTCTCTCTCTTGTCCACCTAAAACACCAAGGAATTCACTTCAGACTGGAAAACAAAACTTTCAGCTTTCCGTGGACATAAGATAGCCACAAGGACCTCACTCAAGACCGAAAAAAAACCTTCTCTTGTATATTTGACACCCCGATGGACCTCGTTCCACACAGGCAAAAAAAGTCTTCCAACTTCTCCTACATTTGACTCCTCGAAAGACCTCACACCAAGCTGAGACAAAAATGACCTAACCACTTTTCCTATACAGCTGATATCCCAGTTGATGGTGCACAGCTCATTTACACACCAGGTGGTGTCTCATAGGCACTCCTGAAATTTATTAATATATATATATAATAGTTATAAATATACTTGGATCACGATATACCAGTAGTTAAGTGGTTTTTCAATCAAGTAATTTTTTTAACCGTGCTTATGATGTATAAAACACATTATTTATTACATTTCAATCTTCGAAAATCTAGCAATTGTTTTAAAATGCATTCACTTTAAAAGTTCGCTCTGGTAAACCTTCCTCGTCACGTAAGTGGCCAGTAGTCCGCAAGAAAAATAATTCAAATAATATGGGAAGGAAATAATAACACGACATGATGAACTAGTAAAATTAACTGCAATAATATTTATTCAAATGAATCGGTAACAGACTCATTGAATATTTTGTGGACACGGCCGATTGAAAAGCTAATTATCAGAAATCATGTTTCAACTTTTCTCGTCTTCAGATGTTTTGCGTATATTGTCTTATTCATGAGTAAAATGTAAATAAAACCAACACTAAATCGCAAGCGTCTGTTAGGAAATAATTTTGTAAAGAGTATGGAACAATATGAAAACCTACATCAAACCCGCAAAAGAACTACCGCGTGAAGCAAATTTTGAACAATAAGAATGTCTGTTATGTTAGTTTGGTTGAGCGTTACATTAAGATAAGTGTGTTTTAAAAGTACATTGGTTGAAAAAGAGTCACACAACATTTACTGTGATTGGTTATACAAACATTTTTTTATTGGTCGATGTACCAACATTGGGTGACCACAACACTATTTACATAGATAACTATCCTACTATATACAGTATAATGGCCAGCAACTGCTCCAGTACTAACTATGAATTATTATTTAAAATACATAAATGTTCATATTTGTATAGAGTACGTTTTTCTCAGTATTACTAATTGTTTAGACAGCATTGCTGAATTTCATCAGGTTAACTATGCTTCACGAACACAGAGTTTGAACACGAACATTCTCTACAAAAAGCTGTAGATAACGTCTTTCACGTAACAGAGAGCTGCCTACGAGCGTATGCTAATTATATGCTTCTATAGCTAGAACCTAATTATAACAACCTACCTACGAACTCATTCTTCTATTCTTACATATTAGAATAGCTCTAATAACACCCACTATATTTTGTATCATAATCTGCGTAAAGTACTCGAAACATTAGTAATCGTTTACATTATTTCCTTTTACTCTGACAACATTTTATAAGGAGCTCTCTAATACGTCGCACCTGCTCTTATAACCAATCATTGGTTTACATTTTTGCTGCTTCCAATACAGCACGTAAGTATAGCGATATTGCCATAACTGGTGCGAAATCTTTAACGCATAGATTTGTGTTATTTACATACGCTATTTTTATTGCTATGTGTGTGGGATTTTATGGTTTTTGTACCCCAGAATTAACGTATCATTTTTATTAATTGAAGTTAGAAGCGATCGGGTCAAAAAAAAAAAAAAAAGAGTACGATCAATGCATAGCCTATTAGAATTTGCAACTGATATAAATTCAGTTTTAATTCTCATAACAATTGACAGTTGGAATCAATACCGACATTTTCATAAATATAGGGAATGAACCTAAACCCTAGACAATCTCAGATTAACTTAGAAATGAGCTCGAACCCTACACAAATCAGAATACTTGGATAACTCCCAACCCCTAGACTTGCACAGAAGAAACTTAGAAGTGATCCTAAATCCCCATAAACTTCAGAATTAATTTTAGATCACCCTAAACCCCTAGACAATTCCGAAAAACTAAAATAAAAAATAGGGGTGAGTCCGGACCATACGTACGTAAAATGTTATTTTGAATAAACATGGAACTTTGAGTAAACCCAGTCCAATTACATGTTCGAGCATTAGAAATAGAACTCGATATTGGCACTTGTGATTATTTTTATATGACTTTTAAACATCACGTGGTTCAACTTGGATGTCGTTCCGAGACTTTAAGTTTAATATAAATGAATAATTAAGACATTTACACTCCACTAATTTCACTTTCAAACGTAAAAAACTAACAAATTCATTTTAGGATCATTCGAAATAAAATCAAAACAATATATTTGAGACATCATATATGGTTAAAATAACTATCTATCTTAAGTATTCTTGGTTACAAAAAGTTTGCTTATTTTATAAACTAAATCGTACGTTAACTAGAGACATGAGTTAAGAGAAAGATGGATGTAACGGTTATAAGTGTTTTGATGACAACGTACATGCTTTCAAAATACGAATCTGGAAGTTGTTTATACACAAAGAATCACCACTTATTTACTTGCAAATTAACTCATGTAAAACAGTATGATATTCTGGATATTTGCAAATAATTGTAGCTAAATTAAAAATTCTATGTACAGGTTGGTTTGCTTTTTCGGAAATATCGGAAAACGTATACGTGATCCTCACCTGTTTCTGTTGTTTTAGTTGTTTATTAACATATGCCAACAGACTGCAAAGGAAATATGTTTCTGTCAGTTAAAGTCTTACCAGTCTGGGAATGAATAAAAGGTGAGACGACTTTTTATCAAACAATCCTGCAGATGTACACAAACCAGGCTAGGTGTCAGCACTGTCGTATCATTCAGTTCATAGGGTACACTTTGGAACAGAAGTACAACTTCTTTTCCATACAGCGAGATAATCCCAAACAAACGTTGCTATATAGCATACACCATCGTATCACCCAGTTCACTATTGTACACTGTGGAAGAGCGGTTTAACCTCTTGTCCATATATATATGTCCACTTAATGGTAAAACAACTGGCCAATATTAAATTCACCAGACAGGTTCGGTGAGAAGTCTACAGATGAACATAAACTCGTCACTATACAAAAGAAAACAAAGAAAAACAATAACAGTTCTCCAGATGTGTGTCATCTCTTTCATCGAACAAAATTTTGTTTAAATTATTTTAAGTTACTTTCTTAATCTGTACTCAACTTTTTCATAGAATAACACACTTAGACGTTTATGACACTTTATGGAAGTACAGACGTACGTAAGATGTGCCACAGAAGAGCACTGCAATAGTTCTGGCACGTAACAAGATTGTTATAATAAGTTCTGCCACGTAACAACATTGTTAGGAGAAGTTGAATAGAGCATGGGGAACAGTACACGAACTTCAGCTCTTCCTCATGATTGTTGCTATTCCAAGTTGAGTAGCACATCCTCTGGAACAATAAATGCGCTTCAGCTGTTTCATGTAACTATAGTATATTGTTCCAAGTTTAATCAGACACCTTCTGGAACTTTAAATGTACATTAGCTCTTGCATAAAACAATATTGTTATTCCAAGTTTACTCAGACACCTTCTGGAACTTTAAATGTACATTAGCTCTTGCATAAAACAATATTGTTATTTCACGTTTACTCAGACACCTTCTGGAACAATAAACGTACGCTAGCTTTTGCATAAAACAATATTGTTATTCCAAGTTTACTCAGACACCTTCTGGAACATTAAATGTACACTAGCTATTGCATAAAACAACATTGTTATTCCGAGTTTACTCAGATACCTTATGGAACATTAAATGCGCACTAGCTCTTGTATAAAACAATATTTTTATTCCGAGTTTACAATAAATTTACGTTAACTCTTCCACAGAAGATGTTAGGTATTCAAGTTTGTTCAGTTTATCTTCTGGAATAACACTTGAAAAGTGTGTAATTGCTTTCTCAGAGGAAAGTCGTTATAGGAAGCTCAACTATTGTCTGAAAAATAACATTTTTAAATGTTTTTAGGTAAATGTTCACTTTTCAAACTTAATTTGGAAGTGTACCAGATTCAATTGCTTACAAATGGAGATCTGCTATTCAGTTTCATTTTCAAACGAATCAAGATAATCTTGTTTCGTTTAAGAATAAAACTAAAGCCTGTAGCCTGTAACTACCGTCTTACCGGAGGATACAACTAAAGCCTGTAACTACCGTCTTCCCGGAAGGTGCTCAACAAATAGGAGTCGGGAAAGACGACGCTGCCAGGTAAGCAGCCGACCTATCAGGCGCTTGATGATGGGCGACACTGGCGGCAACTGATGCTGCCGCATCGCTGGACCAGGGCTGGAGACTTTGTAGCGCATGTAAGGAAGGGCTGCTGAGGCACAGTTGATCTCTAGAATTCTCATAGATCGTCTTAGAAACAACATCGGCTTGTAATGACATCATTAACCGGTTAGCGGCCTGTCGTTCGGCCTCTCGCTCTTCTGCCGTCTGTCTCCTGTAATGATACCAAGAGTTGGTTACAAATGTAAAAAAAAGGCTAAGCACACGTATACATAATTTAAACATGCTTAACTTTCCCTTTAATTAGGCCTGGCATATCCTGGTAATCCAGATCCAGGCGCTTAAATCGCAAACTGAGGGTCGCGAGTTCCAATCCCTCTCACCGAACATGCTCGCCGGGGGGTGGGGGTTGTTATAATGTTGCGATCAATCCGACTATTCGTTGGTAAAAGAGTAGCTCAAGAGTTGGCGGTTGGTGGTGATAACTAGCTGCCTTCCCTCTAGTCTATATCACTGCTAAATTAAAGACGGCTAGCGCAGATAGCCCTCGTGTAGCTGTGCGAAAATTTAAAACAAACCAAATCAAGCCATTTAAATTAGATGACTAATAATCATATAAAAACAGAAAAAGAACAGATAAAACACATACTTTAAAAAGGGCAAACAATCACCTGTTACAGAGGACACTTGAGCGCGTTAGTTCCTACATATATAGTATTAGTAAGGCCACGAAATCTGCAAATGTTAAAATCGAGTCAAGCAGTGCACATCACACGAATCAATTTAGCAACACAACTCCACGCCCCTTTTTGCGTACTGTTATTAACACTAAAAATAAACGGCTTAATGGATTGATCTCATTGAAGCGACAATTGTATTGTATTGTATCCATTCATGCAGGGGGTTTAATACTACACTTGAAATGCAAAAACAAAAAAAAGCTGTTTTTAACCAGTTACGAGATTTTAAAATTATATGCATAATACGCTGTTACTTTTGTCACAGGAAGTCAATTTATATACATCATCTCATTCGGATAAATTCTGTAAAAAAGAAAGAAAAAAGTCGAGAAAATGGCCGAAATAAAAATACTAAACGCGTTTCATGCGACTGAAGTAAAAAGATCGTGGGCTCGGCGTGGCCAGGTGGTTAGGGAGCTTGACTCGCAATCTGAGGGCCGCGGGTTCGAATTCTCGTCTCACCAAACATGTTCGCCCTTTCAGCGCAGGTAGCCCTCGTGTAGCTTTAGGCAAAATTCAAACCATAAAAAAGGACTGTATCGTCTCCCAGTGGCTCAGCAGTAAATCTACAAGCATATAAAACTAAAAATTGGATTTCGATACCCGTGTTAACAACAAACAACACCAATAAAGCTATTAAGTTGACCCCACGCTTGAGAGTAAGAATAAAAGTAATTAACACATATAACAGAGGTGTCACGTGCCCCCACACTTTCTTCAGCTAGCGTACATGCACTATTATTAATAACTACATTAGATCGACTTAGATTTTTATTTATTTTTTGCTCCCCCTCCACTTTTGAGCAAAGTTAGACAGTCGTGTATTTTATGTTTTCTTTTTGTAATATGTAATTGTTTCTAATATTTAATTTTTAAATTCCCATGGTTTTAGTTGTACACCGTATATACTGAAAAGTATGACTGAGATATATATGTAAGTGTACGTGTGAATACCGAAATGAAGGCCACATTACACATACGTTAGAATCGTAGGAATTTATGGCTTGATAAGCGTACCAAAAACAATATCGTTTTACAGTAATGGTAACAGGAAAAGATAAGGAAGCTCACACTTCTGAAACTAATAATAAATTGTTTATTTATTGTTAAGCACAAAGCTACACTATGGGTTATCTGTGCTGTGCCCACCGCGAGTATTGAAAAGTTTTCTTTTTTTAGCGTTACAAACTGAGCTACAGGTGGGTAAATAAGCAATGAAAAAACAGTACAACAATTGTGTCAGTAAATTATTTCAATAAAGACCGTGTCATTCAAGGCTTTGATTTTCTCTTAATGTTGGGATTATTAATGATAGTGACAATATGTTTGTTGCCCGATTAAAAAAAAATATATGTGTAGTAAATATTTTTCGTTTTCAAGGAAATAAATAAAGTTTTTTTTTATTCTACTCGTCGTTTCGGCTTATGCCTTTTTCGAGGTTCTTTGAACGTCACAAAGGTTTATAATATAAAATTAGTTTTGTCATAAACTCTCGAAAAAGTCGTAAGCCGAAACGTCGGGTAGATAAAAAAACGCTTATTTGAAGTTGCTGAAATTTTAAAAAATAATAAAAACCGTGTAGTAAATATTTTTAATTATCATGCTCAATGCCATTTTTAAAAGCTAGAGTGTTTTTAAATCCAATTTTGTGTCACTTGATCTCTTGAAATTATTTTTTAAAAATGCCCCTTATTTACTTTAATCTGTAATTAGAAATTCAAGAAATTGTAATCTGTGTAGTAAATATTTTTAATTATCATGCTCAATGCCATTTTTAAAAGCTAGAGTGTTTTTAAGTCTAATTTTGTGTCACTTGATCTCTTGAAATTATTTTTTAAAAATGTCCCTTATTTACTTTAATCTGTAAATAGAAATTCAAGAAATTGTAATCTGTATATCTACAAGTATTATCCCGTGAAGAATCTTACAGTTCGGAAACGTGGTATTCACATTATGATTAAATCGATTCTTGGATAACATGAGCTACTTGTACATCATGGTGAAATCGCTTCCGAGACAACACGTGCTGTTGTATTCATGTATCGAAAGTTATCAATAAGATTCTATTTAGTTATTTCTTAATGTTCTCTTTGTGTACGTTTCTAGAAAGACAAACTGTGTCAAGCGCAATGGTAAATTTAGTAGAGTGACAGTGATGTAAATTTTTTGTGAGAAAATTAATAGTCGTTCGCTTCAGATAAATCGTGTCGTATAAAACTTGCAAATATACAGTAGGGCTCACTGTTAAAAGAGCATAAGATAGCCTTGAATATATAGGCGCAGTGTGATTTGATGTTTAAGCTAAATATTGAAGTTGTAACCCCCCCCAAAAAAAAAAGATTATTTTGAGAATCAATCATTTTCCTATAACACGTAAAAAATTATCCAAATCTTATTCTCTTAACTCATTAGCACGAATCTTGTTTATATTTCAAAGAAGTAGAAATAGTAATTACTTCATTTCAGGTAGCTCCCCAGTGGCACAGCGATATGTCTGCGGACTTACAACGCGATAATCCGGATTTCGATACCCGTGGTGGGCAGAGCACTGATAGCCCATTGTGTAGCTTTGTGCTTAATTACAAAACAAACAAACATTTCAGGTATGTCAAAATAAGCCACATATACCTAGAAAAACTGTATCTATAAAATTGTATTTTAACAAGCAAAAGATGAGAAATTTCACCTTTAATAAAAAAATTAAACACAAATAACGTTATTTTACAATGTTATAGTAATATAAAGTAATGCATTGGCTAAGTTGCTAAAATTCTCGCACGTTCATTGGACGGTCCTTTATATATATATATATATATATATATACAGATGTACTTATTTAAGTTAATATATATACTATATTATTCTCTAGTTGTATAATAGATATA